ATTGTTATTTGTTAATCTTTGATGATTTTTAAATATGACTTATAGTGTCTATTTCTTTTCTATTTAATTAAAAATAGGTAGTAGTAGTAGGTAGTAGTAGTAGTAGTAGTAGTAGTAGCAGCAGCAGCAGCAGAAATAGTAGTAGTAGCAGTAGTAGTAGCAGCAGTAGCAGTAGGAGTAGCAGCAGCAGCAGCAGCAGCAGCAGCGGTAGTAGTGGTAGTAGTAGTAGTAGTAGTAGCAGCAGCAGCAGCAGCAACAGCAGCAGCAACGGCAGAAGCAGCAACAGTGCGCGCAGCAATTGCAGTCGTTTCTGTAGTTGGTGTGCTTTTTGCTGCTGTCCTCCTGTTCTTGTTCTCGTTCGGTGATGCTGTCGCGACGACCACTGACTATTGGCAATGAAGATGCCGAAAACCGCGACGATGATAAAGTCTATAATCAGAAGAGTCGCTGAAAGCAGGCTCTCGTCCAGTTGGACCGAGCTGAGCCGGGACAGGTGATAGTCCACGAACCTGTGCAGCGAACTTCAAGGTGCTAGGTGCTGAGGCGTGATTTAGGGTTGAGCCGTGCGGGTAGGGCACCTGACATTGACCATTTGTGCAGTTTCTGTGGCAACTCAGTCTGATGATGCGCTATTAGTGATGACGAGGTGGAGGAGGAGGAACAGGCGAGTTGGACTCGTGCTGGCACGAGTATTGCGAATACCACGATGATCATGATGACCATGGCCATGAGGATGATGATCAGGATGGCGACGATGATGGTGATGGTGATGATGGTGTAGATGATGATGCTGATGCTGGTGACGACGATGATGGGGATGCTGGTGACGATGCTGACAATAATAATGATGCGATGATGATGATGATGATGGTGGTGGTGGTGGTATGATGCTGACGATGGTGATGATGGTGATGATGGTGGTGATGGTGATGATGATGATGGTGATGATGCGCAGATGATGGTTATGCTGGTGATGATGGTGATGATGGTGATGGTGATGATTATGATGGTGATGATGATTGTGATGATGATGATGATAATGGTGGTGATCAGACTGAGAGAGGTCATGATCAGCGGCGTCCTAGGACGCTGTGGTTCCACCGCCGATAGAGGGGCCGCGGTCTGCAAGAACTGCATTTTCAGCTTCGCACCCCGCCTCTAAAGGCCCTGTAAGCAGGTACGAAGCTTGGCAGTAGTGCAAAATCTTCTGTATGTAGAAAAAAAGCAGAATGCAACAGGATAGGAATAGTTACAAAAATCATTGTGTGCAGACCGCTGCATCAATGATGATGATGATAATGATGATAATGATGCTGATGATCATGCTGATGATGATGATGAAATGATGATGAAATGATGATGGTGATGATGCTGAATGATGTTGATGATGTTGATGATGGTAATGACCGTGGTGATGATGATGGTGATGATCATGCCGATGCTGATGATGATGATGATGACGATGCTGACGACGATTGTGATGATGGTTATGCTGGTGATGATGGTGATGAAGATGCTGATGATGATGATGGTGGCGGTGATGGTAATGGTGGTGATGATGATGTTGCTGATGATGATGATGATGATGATTATCCTGCTAAAAATGGTGATGATGATGGTGATGATGATGATGATGGTGATGAAGAAAATGATGATGATGATGCTTATGTTGTTGATGATGATGATTTTTGTGATGTGATGTAATGTGATGTGATGTGATTTGATGTGATGTGATGTGATGTTGATGATGGTGATGCTGATGATGATGATGGTGATGATCGTGGCGTTGATTTATGGTGACAACGTCAATCATTGTCGCTGTGACTTCTAAGCTCGTACAACTACCACCAGCGCTATCACGACTCCTACCACTACCTACCACCACCACTACCAGGCCACTTCCACTCACCACAACCACCACGGCTACGGCTACGATTACGAAGAGGACTACCCTCACCACCCCGCACCGCCAACCACCACAACGACTGCGACGACGACTACTACTACCACTACTCCAGCAGCTGCTGCTGCTGCTGGTATCACCGCTACCACTGGCACTACTACCACACCCACGACCACTAGGATGTTTGCGACTGCGACTGTAACGACGACTACTGCGACGACGACTACTATACGACTACGACGTCTACGACCTATATTGCTACAGCTACTGCCACTACTACTACGACAACGATGAATGCTACTGCCACCACCAACAACATCTCCACCATCGCCACCAGCACCACCGCTACCACCACCTCCATTTCCACACTACTCCTCCTACTACAACCACCAATAACACTGCTTCGACTACTCCACGTCTCCGGCCGCGGCTGATATGACTGATAACTAATTACTATTCATGTTCTTCTGAATCCATTGGCTCATACCGTGACATCCCAGCATTCCCACAACGACCGCAACCTGTACTGACCGCATTGGTTTTCGTCGGATCATGTAGCATCAACATTTCAACCGACAACTTCGTCGTGTGACCAGGATTCCACTGAATTCCCGCGTCCAATCTTACAAACATGAGCAAGAAATGGAATCAGTGCTACAGACACCATAGAAGCAGCCCAAGTAGAGCCAAAAAGGCACGGAAAATTTGACCACAAGAACAACAGCAAAGTAGGCCTCATCACTCGGATCTGGAGCTCCTGGCTTACCTTGTTGACCTTAGGCAGAGCTGTGGAAAAATGCAGCCTTCTTGACACAGGGCTTAGGGATGTTTAGGGCTTTCGGGTTGACTGAGCTTCTGGCCTTGAGGTACTGCGTGACCTGTCTTCTCCGATCCTGAGCCTCAGAATTGATCTTGATGGCCGCCTGGATCGAGGCCGAGACACGGGAGATGGCACTGCCCATGACGAGGAGAGAGAAGAAGATCACGAAGATGTTGTAGAGCCTCTCTGCGTTGCTTTGCGCATGGATGTTCATAGGGGCTGGGGTGAACTGGCCCAAAATCCAGTGGCAACTTGCCAGGTACTGATCCGTCACCGCACTGTGCTGGTAGCCGGAGGCTTGAAGCCAGTTATCTTCGTCCCCAGCATCCACTTCAGTCCGACCGACATAGTACCAGAAGCAGCCGAGAAGATGCACCGAAAACATGATCGTCACGACGGACTTCACCACTGCAGCCAACAGCTGCACTGACTGCGTGTATCCACTGCTCACCTGCTCTTCCACAAGTCGCACGATGTCATTGAGCTTGAGAAGCCGGATAAGGCGCAGTGTGCGAACGACGCGGATGATTCGAATAAACTTAGACCCCATGAGGAAGCTCTGCGTTCCCTGGCCCTCCAAAGAGAGCATGACCCAGTCTAGGGTCACCAGCGTTGCATCGAAAAGGAACCAGCTCTTCAAGTAGTGCAGCAGGGCCCTTCTACTGGACAGTATGAGCTCTCCCGCCTCAAAGAAGCCGGTTTGGGTGCTCAGAAGCATGTCGATGGACCAATAGATCATAGCAATCATGCCCATTGTGAAGAAGAAGAGGTTGGAGATTTCCCAACTCACCAAAAGCGGAATGGAGATCGCATCCCACAAGACAAGCAAAAGCCCAAAGCAAGACCAAGTGATTCGGCCCGGGGAGTGAGGAAGCATCACAAACCGACCCCTCTTTTGTTGTGTGTTTTTGGACAGGGACAAGCCGAGGGAATTGCCGAAGCCCCCCACAGTCTCCTGCCTTTGCAGAAACTTCTCAGGGGAATGGTGATAGTAGGAGAGAGGATCGTCTGCAAAAGGGCTCAACTTCTCCCACTCGCCATAGAGGGAATAGACCGGGAGGTCTAGAGATTTCGCCTTGCCTGCATCCTTCAGCCTGGGAGCGGATAGCGCAATGTCGATCTTCTTCTGGTAATGCAACTCCAAGGCTTTGGGAAGTAGGAAGTCCTCGTTCTGCTCATTGTCGGCTTTCGCAGTCTGGGCCTCTTTTTGTTGCACCTGCCCCGGAGAGAAGCCCTGAAGCGAGGTCTTCACCTGGATGGCGTCAACAGAAGCTAGGCCTAACTAGGCTTCCTTTGAAGCTCACCCGTTGTAAAAGCGGCGTTTCACAGAAACCGGACCCCTGAAAACTACTGGCCGGGGTTTAGATTGACCACCGCCCACCCCCGACCACGCCTTGTTGGACTTTGCGATGATGTCATCCAGGTCTGCCAGAACCGACCGGAAAGCTCCGGAAACTCCTTCCATGTCAAGCGGCCCTTGCAGAGCCAACGCTAACGCTGCGGAGAGCCCAAAGAAGGCGGGGATGCCAAGCTGGTGTTTCCAAAGCAGACCTGACCTGATAAAACGCCCCCCGCATTACGGTGTCCGTTGGAGGACTCTTCTTCAGGAACCAGGAAAGCAGCCCCACCACCTGTTGCCATCGAAAGGCCCTTAATTAGTGTTCTCCGTCCCGCGACGGCTTGTCTTACCTGTGCTGCTTGGCAAGTAACAAGATGCAACCACTGAGCCTGTTCAACAGCAGACTTCCGCGAACTTCCGAGGACCAGACGCTTTCCGGACATTGGGCCCGCCAGCCGCGGTCCCCACCGACCACCGTGCGGACGCTGAGCTTTAGCAGGCCCTGAACGGCCTGGGTGCTTGGAAGGCCGAGCCTCGAGAAATGGACCTAAAATTGACTGCAGGCTGGGGGGGTTCAGGTCTTTGGTTCTGTCGTGTTGGATTCTCAGACGCTGGCCACACAATCAAAAAGCGACACCTTTGCATTTCGTGACACTACAGCTGCTTCCCAGAGTAGCCGTCACTTCCAGCCTGGACTCGAGGATTCAAGCCTGATGGCATTTACCCAACTTTACCCGAAACCAACCATGTTTCGAATATTCACTCCGAAGCACCACGAGGACCCTCCAGGAGGATCAAAGGACATTCCGATTTTGGAGGCGTTGCTTCTGTGCTCGGGCCGGGGCGTCGGGCTGGGCCGTGCCCGGATCCCGGATGTCACTGGAGTAGCAATCCTGCCGGTTTCGGAAGCTTGGAGCCAGATCAGAATCCGGTCTACCCTCCTACTGCAATGTCAATCCTGAACTTAAGCTTGCAAAGTTGACCAGTGCTCTGGAGGTTGTCGGGCCAAAGCTTACGACACGAAGGTACCGGATAGAGAAGCCATCCCAGTGTGGAAGCTGTGACCCAAGAAATCTCCGTTTCGGAGAGCCTGCTCAGCCAGCTCCTCGACACTGAGGCAACACGGCCTCAGCGCGACCGTGCTAGTGTGGGTCCTGGGGTCACTTCGGCTGGCCGCCAGCCCTCTTGACCCAGAGCCCGGGCAGCACAAGCTTCGTCCGCACGACATCTACGAGCGCTTCATGCTCCAGCTGCCACAGCAAGCCTTACGCCTTCCCATGCAATCACGAGACCAGAAACCGTGAGAACGCATCGAGACCCCTCCCCCGCGATGAAGGGCCCAGCTTCGTGAAGGCTGCATAGCCAATCTTGAAGCAGCAGCCCTCAGTGCATGTTGAGTTCGACAAAGAGCGCGCTCTGTAGAATCACGCATGATGCGCGGAGTCTCTTACTCATCCATGTTTTCGCTGGCTCCTCAACACGTGTGTACGCATGTGCAGGATGGCACATGCACACGTGCTCTAAGTAGGATGGAGAAGCAAAACATATGCATGACAGAAAGATGAATGAACGAATGTCAATGTGGACAATATGAATGAAGGAACGACTAGCTGCATGATGCATGCATGCATGTGCCAATGTGTGTGCATGTGTACGCGGACATGTGCACGACAGACGGATTTGTGCACTGTGGCGTCTTCCTAGCCATCTTGCCGTACAGAATACAGCTATACATGCACACAACTTCCGTGTCGCGTACTCTCTGCCCTCGTGTCACAAACACCTTGCAAGAAAAATCCAAAGAGAATGACAGCCAAGGCCAGCTACCGGGGCGAAGGCAAACTAGAAACCATAGATACAGTAGTAATACAATAAGCAAGCGATGACACACGGCAGCAGCAGGAGTAGTGGAGTGGGAGTGGTGGTGGTGGTGGTGGTGGTGGTGGTGGTAACTTAGTAGAAGTAGTAGTGGTGGTAGTAGTAGTAGTAGTAGTAGCAGCAGTAGCAGTAGCAGTAGCAGTAGTAGTAGTAGTAGTAGTAGTAGTAGTCTTGTTGTAGTCTTGTTGTAGTAGTAGTAGTAGTAGCAGCACCAACAGCAGCACCAGCAGTAGCACTGGATGGCGATAACAACACCAGACATGTTCGGGCCGTCGATATTGCAAAGAGTCACATTGGCATCAGTGGCTCAGTGTTTTGGCTAGTGAATGTCTGCTTACAGTACGAGCCAGCCCGATATCTGTGGCCCATATTCCGGGACGTGAGAGTCAAACGTCTTGACAACAGCTGGGCGCAAGAACCACAAGCGGCTCCAGCTTTGGCACCTGCACGGCACATCGGGGAAAGCACATTTCCGGCAAGTTCAAACATGTGCACAGAGTACAGAGACATGTAGTACATTATTGTGCGTACATAACAATGACACACGGTCGAGGACCTGCTGTTTACGCTTTTTTGCAGGAACAGTTGTGATACATGACAGGGTCCTTCCAAAATGGCTGCTCCTTCAGAAGGGCCTCATAGTAACACTAGACACCATATTTTCGGCTACTGCTGTCATGCTCCCCGCGCAAAACCGCTGCGGCTGATTTCACTACCGGTTCCCATGTCACATGCGACTGCTGTGCGATGCAGCTCACCATCCATGCGTTGCTTAAAACTGCGAATCCGGACCCTCCCAAACAGCACATCCATGAAAACACAGATTAGCAGCCATCATATTAGATGCCAGAATCCTGGCGACCTACAATACAAGCCCCTATTGTTCTCCTGAAAGCATCCCCTCCGGACACTCCCAACTGCAAGTCCGAAGCTACTCCGTGCGAAGCAAAGTGCAAGTAGATCCCCGCTGTCGATGGCCCACTTCATACAAGAGCTTCGGCTGCAAGCCCTCCAGTTCTGTGAAAACTCCTTTGTGCACACGGCCCAGCAAAGCCAAAAGGCTTCGATCACGAAGCTCCTATTCCGATTCCGTTCATGCATCAGTAATCAACAACTGTTACGCTGATACATATTCAAACTGCTGGAACAACATTAACATTGAATTTCGAAACCACCATGGTCTCAATGCAATCCTGACCCCCAACCAATCCTGACCCTCCAGACCCTCGCTGTCCCGCAATCGTCATCAGAACCTCACCATGAATCCTGAACAAAGCCGAGACCAAAATCTGCGCTGATTCAGTACTGGGATTCATGGGATGGAAGGAACTGCCGCCCACCTCATCTGCACCCTCGGAAGTCGCGAAGCCCAGGAGCAAAAGGCAAAGCGCCGCCCTCCTCTCAGTCATTTACATCGTTGTGGCATGCGCGAGTTCTGAGACTCACGCCATCTCCGAGATCAACACAACACTGCTAGATCTTCATTTGATACTGAAACATGGTATGACAGGAGAAATGCCATGACGAGAGACTACTTCTGGCTCATGCGGTGCATTGCACCCGTAAAGCCTGAAACCCGAATCCTCAAACCTGTCAACTCAATGCTAAACCCAGGCAAGAACCCTTAACGACCGGAATCACATATGTATACTCTGTATGTATAAAAAATACATATATATATACAACAAAAGAAAAACTTGTGCGCGTGATATGCACATACATATGTATTTATTTATTTTTGTATATTTATATAAACAGACCATGCAGACAAAAACTGTACTCTATACGTAATAATGCACGTATCTGCGATCGCAGGTACACCTAAAACAATGTGTAACAGATACTACTGCGGCAGCGAACCCGAAGATACATAGAAAATGCAGCATCCCCCAACTCAGACTGTGCAAGGACTCCTCTTGGAGCCCTGAGCCTGGGGAAAGCAGATGATGAAGCTCAGGGCTTTAGGCTGGAGGAGTTGAGATTTATGACCTCAGGATTTCAGGGTTCAGAGTTTCGGAATGTTTCGGATTTGCAGTGTAGCGTCGGACGGGTTCGCCCTGGAACCTTTCGACAGAACGGTCGGGACTCTTGAAAATCACCATTCCTTCCATTGCTAGCAGAAGTTCACTCTTTGAACTGCTGCTGCTGCTGCTGCTTCAATGTTGTACTCATTGCATTAAATCCGAGTTACCTGCAAACTTTTGCTCCCGCTGTTACCACTACTGTTGCTACTGCTAGTGCGATTGCTTCTTCTACAGCTGCTGCCACTGCTCTTGCTAGAGTAGTAGTGTAGTAGTGTAGTATGTAGTAGTGTAGTAGTGTAGTAGTGTAGTGGTGTAGTAGTCGTCGCAGTCGTCGTCGAGTAGTAGTAGTAGTAGTAGTAGTAGCAGTAGCAGTTGTTGTAACAGTAGTAGTAGTAGTAGCAGCAGCAGTAGTAGCAGCAGTAGTCGTAGTAGTACTCGTAGTAGCAGTAGTTGCAGTAGTTGCAGTAGCAGTAGTAGTAGTAGTAGTAGTAGTAGTAGTCGTAGTAGTAGTAGTAGTAGTAGTAGTAGCAGAAGACGACGATTGCTGCCACAATACTATTTCGAACACTGCTGCCTCGCAAATGGCTATCACAAGCCAAGCACGAAAGTGCTGCAAATCGCTCCTGTTTCCCCTTCAGAGAAGACAGCATTTCAATCACCGTAGACCGACATGCTTTATGATTCCCTGCAATACTCGAGCATTACCATTTGTTCATGGAAACAACTTTCTCGCCCTTGCTCCTGTAGGCGTGATTGCTGCTGGCATTTCTGGAATGCAACCTGTGACGATTGTTAGTCTTGCTGGCTACCGCGATTACAGTCTGAGCCCCACGCCGGTATCCAAGAAGTGGCAGGGAGTTGGCCAAGCATGGCGTCCAACAACTTGAAATCACTTCAACGTCCCAACGCAAGGCACTCTAGCAATACCTCCTGCCTCCTGCGCGTATTTGTGGAAGTGCAAGTGATAGCAGAAGTAACATCAGCAGTAACGTTGCCAACCGGCTACTGGCGAAGAACAAACTGCGCACATTCGTTCTCTGATAACGTTCGAGTGAGTTGCATCAACCATGGTTCGTATGCGAAGATCTGAGCCAAAGCAAAAGCCCCAACACTCAGACTGGACAGCAACAGACCTAGCTGCCCGACGATGGCAAGCATTCGCTGAGTAACAGTGCAGTAACAACAATAGTATCGGAGCTCATGCAGTGTTAGAGTCATGCTAAGCAAGAAGACACGTGATCATCCAGAACTGACAGCCCGAGCCCATCCCCAACGAAATCGGGCGGAGCTCTGGCCTTCATCAGCACTTGCCGAATTGCCAGGACGGACTTCTGTTCCTGCTCCCGGCCCCAGGACCCCGTAGACCCAATACAGCAAAACCCGAAAACCCTAAACCCAAAGCCCTAAGCCCTAAACCCTGAACCCTATACCCAAACCCGAAACCGAAACCCTGATCCTACACCCCAAAGCAAAACGCGAAAACCCTGGACCTGAAATCCCAAAACTGTAAACTTCAAACCCTGCCTGCCTCAAGGCTGAGTCAGCATCGTTCATGCATGTCACCGAGTTAATCCTTCGAAGAGCTAGCTAGAATCGAAGCACGCTAAGATAGATACTTCAGAAATTCTTGGGAAATTAGCGGACAAGAGAAGTTCTGAAAGAAAAAGCAAGTTACAAAAACAATTGCAATGATAAGAAAGACAAGAATGTAAGGAAGAGACACGATTATGATTGAGCACCAACGATGGCAAATCACCGACCGATGTGCAGGTCGAGAAGCGAAACAGAACCACTGCAACCCATGGCTTGTTGTACAACCGCCGATCCAAATCGCGGACCTCAGAGCGCTGCTTCGCGTCCAACGCGATCAGCTACGTGCAACTAGCACATCACAAGAAAAGGCCAGCAAGTCGTCGTAAAGACCGGACTAACGACACAGACAGCAATGGTGAAAGCAGGCAGGAGCGACGGGACAATGCTAAGATTGATTGGATAATTTGACGGTGCAAGTGGCAAAGATGATACTGATGGCAACAAAGGCGATGTTGATACCCGCTTTACCCCACCTCTGCTCTCTTCTTCACCTCTTCCTGCCTCTTTTTCTCCTCCTGCGCGGCAACTGAAGGCTTCTCAAGTAGTGCCTCCAGACTGGAGAAGGCTTCAGGCGGAGGGTCTTTCTGGCAAATGGCTTGACTCCTCCACCCTTCTTCTATTGGCTTCCTCAATCTTCTTCTTGTTCTCCTGAGGCGCAGCAGGTACACGGGTACACGCCTGCAGCACAAACTGGGAGAGACCAAGAGCATCCAATGGCCCACGCCTCCGCCCTCTGCCTGGCTTCCTCAACTCTCTTTTTCTGCTCCTCGCAACGGGCAGTGAGCCCGCGAGAGATGAGAGAAAGAAAGAACGCAAAGCGAGAGGGAGAGAGAGCGAGAAGGAAAGAGAGGGAGAGAGAGTGATAAAGCCAGTACAGTGCAGGGATGGCGGAGTTCAGATTCTCGCTTATAATCACACTCCCCAGCGGTTGAGCTGCAAGACGATCCTCTGCTTGCCGCATCTTTTCAGCCAGGATCTGCTGCTGCCGAGCCTCGACACATGCATCAGGCCCCCCCACTTCCAGACCGGCAGAGGCACGCGGCGAAAAAGCAGGGCCGACAAAACGGCTCCACCGAATTTGATGCCACGCAACTCTCACGCAATGGCGACCTTGATTCAGAGCCTTCCAAGCCTAGCCGATCCGACACGCCTGGCCTCGGCTTGCTGCTTCAAGGCCTCTTGCTGCCTCAGATCCACGGCAGCGGGGCTCAGAATCAAAGGACGCTAGAACATCTTATGCAACTGAGCAGGAGTCTACAGTAGGGGCCCGTGGTTCAAATCCGGACCGGCTGATCCCGGGTGGCTGGCTAGATAAAGAAATCGACCAACAGCCAGTGAGGCAGGGAGCTACTGTAAGTAGCTGGAGGATTGACAAAAGCAAGACACGAGCATAATTTGTGACTCAAAACCTAGCCACGCTGAAGATCAGACAGAAATGAAGCCACATTCCGCAAACTCAGTGAATGCTACAGCGCGGCTTTGTCAACGAAGATTTTGGCTGTTAGGCTTGCTCCTGAAAAAGGGGAGGGGCGAGGGAGGCCGAGAGAGACAACTGGACGGATGGTCAATAATATACTGACGCAGCAGGAGTTCTCAAGGGAATGTGTAGCAACGGAAAACGACAAAACGGATGGAACACAGAGAAGCCGAATAGAGAGAGCGAGAGAGAGGTCCAAAGAAATCAACGATGTCGCAGCACAGCATAGGGGACTGGCAACAAGATGGGCTCCAGGTTCCTATGTCTGTGCCGTCATCCTGGATGGGCCTAGCATAGACCCTAAACCCAACAGGGTTTCAGGAAGAGGGTTTCCTCGTCTCGGTTCCAGGGCTCAGTGTTTCAAAAACTGCTGCCTGAAACCCCAGTCCCGTGTAGCCAGATGATAGCTCAACCTACAAAGTCTACTGCAGGGGCTTCTAAAAGGGTACCTAAAAACAGGGTTCGACAAGGCTCATAAACATGCTAGGTAAACCCTAAACCCTAAACCCTATAGTCGGTGGAGGTTCAGGGCAGGCTCTTTGAGAATACTCTGACTCGGCGATCTACCACCGTTTTTCCATCGCCCCGTCAATTCCCTAGGAAGCCTGTCATACTCTATAAAGCCCTTGGTGAAGGAAGCCGTAGTGGAGAAATTCGAATCAAGAGAAACTGCGATCGATTACCTATCGTAGGGTGATGGCTGGATGCCTAGGCCCAAACATCGGGAACCGATCTCAACCCTGTACACAGCTACGAGGACTCAGGAGCCAACGCCGCAAGGCCCTGCGCAGATGGGAAGCTGCTATGGCTAGCCGGGCAAAGGTGCAGCTGCCAGAACACGTGGATGGCCCAATGGCCATTGAGCGGCTACTGTCTCATCAAACACATGGATCGCGCGCGGCTCACTACTCTGTCACAGAATACTCAGTTTCATTAGCCACCGCCGTTGAGGAGCCACGCGAAGATCAAACACGAGTCCAACATCCTCAAATTCAAAGCCATCGGCCTCCCTCCTCAACCTTGCCCTTACCCAAAGTGAACACATCGCGGCTGCTGCGCTATACATCCACGTTTCCCAGAACATGCCCATAGCATGCAGAGCCCGAAACCCAAACCCCCAACCCCCCCTCAT